ATTATTGGTGTGGGCACGAGCAGGCTAGATTTTTTTGTGTAATTAAGTATTTATTAAATAGCTTAATTCCAATATAAATATTAAGTGCATATGTAATTACTCCCTTCGTTCATTTTTACTTGTCCACTTTGAACTTTTCACGCCTCTTAAAAAATAATAATTGTAGTATGTATATTACCATATAACCCCTAATAATTATAGCATTTCAAAAGATCTTGAAAAATAGTAATTTGGAAATAAGTAGTTAATGATTAGGGTAAAATAAAAAATAAAAAATTGTCTTTCTCTTGATTTCATATAGTGGACAAATAAAAATGAAAATATATTTTTAATATAACGGACAAGTAAAAATGAATGGAGGAAGTATATAGTTACTGTGACAGTTCTTCAAGTTTTCTTTCTAGTCGTTTAATATTGGGATTTTACCATATTTCTGTTTGTTAGTTGGAGTGTAGACTATATTTTATTTGGCTTTCATGCTCTATATTTATATAGTATGGATCACGTCATTTCCAATTTATCAAGATAGACAATTTTTACTCAAATAGTGTAAATGAGAGTACTAAGATTTTTTTGTATTTCGTTTTTAAGAAAGAATAATTAAAGCTTTGCAAAGAAAACATACAAAGTTAAAGAATGCAGAGGGTATTTTTGTAAGAAAATATTTTTTAACAAAGATTATGTAATGCATATTAATTTTAATACACCAAATCAAACAGTTCATAAGAAAATAATTCTAACATAACTAATCCTAATATCAGCATTGCTAATATACTCCATTTAGTTCTATTGTTAATGACCCCTTAACGTCTAAAAATTGCACTATATACATTTAGAAATTGCTTGAAATAAAAAACAAACAATCTCAAATTATTGATAAAGATGGCATTATGTCAAAAACAGTACATCTCTTTTGGATGCTAGTAGAGTAGCAGTCTTGTCAAGAAGTTCCCCATCGCTTAATATTTGGTACATTATCAACTATACCTACCAATCTACCATACTCCTACAAACCTTATCCTTACCTGTTGCCTCCCATATTAAGTTAGATTCTGTGTTTGCCTTATCACTTATCTACGCAAGGAAGGAGTACTAAAAAAATTATCGCCGTTACGGGTCGTTTGGTAGGATGCATTAGATAAAATAATGCATGCATTAGTATAGTGTATTAATATTATCTTGTTTGGTACATCTTTTGAACTTATGCATAAGTTATGCAAGCATTGGTTATACACCCTATTTGGTATTATCCTATGCATAACTAATGTATACGAAACCATGGCATTAACAATGCAATGGGTTTTAATGCATGCATTAGCTTAATTAAAGAAAAAATTATCCTTCAAAATTTATGCTTATGCTATTATATTAATGCAAGTTTGAAATAATCCAAGAAACTAAAAATAAATTATATCCCTAGTAAATAAATAAATACGTAGCACATTTCCTTTTTTTATAAATAAAATTAATGAACTATACTACAATATAGGTAGACAAATCAAATAATATTTAACCTTTTTCATATAAAATATTCCTCAACATATGTTTCTTTTAAAAAGATAAAGTGATAGATTGGCGACGAGCGCAAATTAAAACACACACTAAAATATGCTCGATAGTCGATTATAATAAAATATAATATCGTATCCACAACGACTGGAGTTAAACAGTATTATCGAAGTTTGTAGCTAGATTGCTATCCAAGATGATCAACAATTGAGATTTATGTGATTAAAACCAAATTTAACTAAGAGTCTAAACTAATGACTAGTGACAAACAATGCAAGTAATAAGCAAAGGAAGTTATCAACGGGAGAAGATAGGGTTGATAGGATAGGTGCAAGATAAATGTCCGGGATCTAACTCTAGATAATTTACTTCTAATGTTCAAGTGAGTCTCTCGAATTCACTTGGTTATTTGTTCAATTGTTTAGTAGAAACTCCTCTCTCGATTAAGTCTCAACCTCACGAGATGAACCAATTTTAAGCACGTGAAGATATGCAAGAATTCGTAGTGGATTGGTCTTTAGGAGAACCTCTCTCGATTATCCTCCTAACTAGGTTTAATAAACTATTCAACTAGCCTCTTCTGATTACTAAGAAGAATTAATGACTTCAACCAACAAAATATAATGCAAAGATATCACAAGTTATGCCTCTCTCGATTACATGAACTAGTAAATACAGATGCAACGATTAAAACATCCAAAATGATTCAATACATAAAAACTAGAGTTATAATCCACAAACAAGCATCAGTACACCAAATCCATCAAACCCTAAAGAGAACTACTCCATGGATATGGAGTAATTCATAATAAATATGTTTAAGTTAAAGGAAATACAAAATGGTCCAAACTCTTATCTTGAGTAAGGATTGAATGATGAAATCTTTGTGCTATTGCTTCTCCACCTCATCCTTAGATTCCTTAAGTCTAAAATGTGTCAAAAGGTACCAAAAATAACATTTTACATGTATACTAAGTAGCATCGGGCCCAAATGAAACCACCTTCTCCTAACCGAAATAGGATTGTTACTCTGTAAAAAATGCACAGGCGCGCCGCATGGAGCGACGCGCCATGCGGTGTGGTCGTGAAACTTATCAGAGAGTGTGCAATTTCAAGGCAGCAGCAAAATGAACAACCGCGACGTCCCACACACCGCGGCTGTGGTGATTTCTTAGAGTCCAGTTTCTTTCTTGATTTTTGATATCCAGACGTGGTTCTCGACCCCCGAACACGATCTCGGCTTAATCCCATGGGCTTTTACTCGAACTTTAAAGCTCTAAATAGCTCAAATTCGTTCCGTAACATTTACATCACTCGGAATCACTCCTACAAGGCGTAAAATACACAATTAGTGCAAAACACTAGCAATTAAAGCTCAAACTCAATTAAAGTATAGTAAATTAGAGTGCAATAAGCGACTAAACGCGAGATTATAGCCTACCATCAACACCCCACACTTAAACCATTGCTTGTCCTCGAGCAATCAGACTACACTTCATATATACACGACCTTTTTAAACAACTCTCCTAACCCAGTACACCAAGAATATTTAAAATAGACTTAGCACAATAGTGTAACATCCTTGCCTCAAAATTTGACTCACAAGTACCATGCATTATTTATAACTCACCCACTTACTCTAACATAGAGGTCAATGACGCTACCTCTCCTTCATGAATCAAGTGCCCTCACACAAACATTGAGAGTAGTTCCACACACAATCAGAATTAAGAACAATTAGGAACTCAAGATAGAACGAATTCACTCACTCTCAGAAACAAAATTCATATGCCACAAAAGATGAACCATAGGCTTTCCTTAGTGTACTACTCTACTAATTGAGCTCATTCAGTCAAGGATCAAGTAAGACTTTAATTGGTTGTAATGTAGGCTACGGGACGGGTAGGATACATTTAGATATAATAGTGACTACACCTCCACAAGCACTTTAATACATACACTTTAATATTCAAAACCCCACACTTATGTCAAATAATACTCCACCTTCACATCAATATACATTAACTCCCTACTTCTTTAAGTACATTTACAACAAGAGTCGCCACTATCAAAGAATATTTTGCACAACAATATAACTATATTTTTTCTTTTCTTATTCAATTCAAGTGGCTCTTACTTTTTCAAAACAGTGCACCTTTTTCCTTATTTCATTAGTTTCACTCAAAAGCCAAACCAACCACCCCACACTACAACTTTTACAAAGTTCATAAGAATTTCAAGTGCTCACGGGAGGTACAAGGTTCAAGTAGACGGTCAATTAAAACAAATGGGTAAGTCTTGTAATGTGGTTACCCAAGAAAACAAGATTACAGGCTCGAAGGGGTTAACTAAGATACATCACAATTAGGTGGGTAATAGCATATAACTAGCTCAACAAAGAAATGCCTATATCACTTCCAAGACTAAACAAACTTACTATTTCGCTTTGCAAACATACGAGGCAAGTTCTAGACATCAAATGCAATGCACAGAATAACACTAAACCTCCCACACACATGGCACATAACTCACTCAGGATCGGACTCATCAAGACACTCTAGTCAAAGCAGTTAAGCACAGTTAAGATCATACAGTTTAAGGTACTTATACAAGAGTCAAAAACTGAGCCTAAGCGTCACAACTAAAGCACTTACTATTCTCAAGGCATAATAAAGTCTAGAGATATTGATTCCAATTCAAATCATAACACAAGGTTTTCACACCTAACAAAATAAAAACTAACTATACCCGGTTCAAACAAAACCCTTGGAAAAGAACCGCGGCACAAAGAACCAAGGGGGAATTAATACACTACCTACAAAGAAAATCTTTTTGGTATTTTTCCTTCGACTTTAATCCCTCAAGAAACTCGTCGAATGATATCCATCGTCGAGAAAAGTCGAAAATTTTAAAAAATTTATGGTTTTTTCAATTTTGTTTAACTACAACTACTAATAAAATGAAACTACAACTAATATACATACAACATATAAATATCCCCTACCCCACACTTTAAGTTGTGGCATGTCCCCATGACACACAATTAAAAAGCATAAGGTAGAGAAAACTTCCCTGAATCTCTAGTCGGGGTCTGAGTCGAAGTCGGGCTCCATTCCACGCGCCCAAACTAGTGCGCACATCCACGCAGACATCTTCTTCTCAACCTTTTTGGGGTACACCTCACACTTGTCTTTCTCACTCACTGGGCCTTATCTCTTGAACTCTTCACCTTCCATTCAACACTTGCAGTTGGTTTCTCCTTTCTCACCCCCGTCCATCTTGAACGTCACAGTCTTATCACCCACTCTAAGCATAAGTTTTCTCCAATATTGCTCTACCCGTTGCTAAGAATGGTCTTCCTAAGATAAGGGGGACCTCCTTGTTCTACTCCATCTTCACTACTATAAAGTCTACAGGAAATACAAGCTTATCCACCCGCACCAAGACATCCCACTATCCCCTCGCGTATTATAGTCGTTTGGTCAGCCAGCTACAAAGATATTGGTGCAGGAATTATCTCTCCAAGCTCATTCTTCGGCTTCCTATAAATAGACAGAGGCATTAGATTAATTGAGGCACCAGAATCACATAAAGATTTATCAAAGTTAAGAGTGCATAAAGAGCAAGGTATCGTAAAACTCCCTAGATCTCTACACTTTTGTGAGAGTTTATTTTGCGATATTGCACTGCAATACTCTGTGAGCTTGACCACTGAGGTTTCTTCCATCTTCCACTTCTTTGTAAGGATCCCTTTCAAGAAGTTGGCATAAGCTGGCATTTGGGAGAGAACTTTTGTGAATGGCAAATTTACATTAACCTGTCTCAGCATATCTAGAAATCTCTCGAACTGCTTGTCCAGCTTTTCTCTATAGAGCTTTTGGGGAAAAGGTAGAGCAGGCATGTGCTTGCTCTTTTCATTAGCTTTCTCCCTTCTCGAAGTTTCCTCTTTCTTCTTTATATCAGCTTCCTTCTTGCCTTTCTTCTTCTTATCAACTTCAATTTTCAGCTGCCCCTCACTTTCTTTTACAGGTATTATTTCTTTTTGGACTGGAGTGGGATCTTTCCACACTTGCCCGCTTCTCAAGGTCACAACATTTACCGTTTCTTTGGGATTCTTTTCAGTATCAGCTGGCAGAGTACCTGGGATTCTCTCAGACAATATAGTTGCAATTTGTCCCACTTGTCTCTCCAAGTTACGCAAACCTGTCCCAAGTTCTTCGATAGCTGCACCATGAGCATATAATCTCTCATCTGTCTTGACAATGAAGGACTTCATTAGATCTTCTAACCCAGACTGAATTGGATGTTAAGACTGAAACTGTGGCCTCTACTGATTTTGGAAGCTTGGAGCTCCTTGTCCTTGAAATCTGGGGTTGTTTTGTTGCCATGCATTTGCTGTACCCCCAGGTGAACTCCATGAGAAACCAGGGTGCTTTTGACCTATTGCATTGAAGTTATAATTACCCACAGCATTAACTTCCTCAGTTGAGGTTTGACACTACGAGTAGGGTGTCGTCCTCCGCATATGTCACATGCTGCATGAGGCTCATTATGTATCGAAGCTAAGGTCAACTTCCTTATTTCTTTTGCCATGGAATCAAGTTGTACCTGCACAGATGTGTTAGCATCAACCTGGTGAATACTAGTTGCTCTTATTCTTTCAGCAATCTGAGAGGGCCACTGATTTGCATCTTCAGACAACTCATCTAGAATTGTGATTGTCTCCTCTGGAGTCTTCTTTATCAACGGGCCTCCAGCTTCATTGCTCAATGTTCTCTGTGAGGCCGGTGTCAATCCATCCCAAAAATCCTGGAGTTGCATCCAGAGTTCAATTCCGCTATGTTGACACTTTTGCACTATCTCCTTAAACCTCCCCCAAGCTTCAAACACAGTTTCAGTCTCGTTCTGGCAGAAGTTATGAATTTCTCTTCTAAACTTGCCCGTTTTAGCTGAGGAGAAATATTTATCAAGAAATTTTTTGGTCATCTCCACCCATTTTCTATTTTATCCCTGGGGCAAGCTTCGAAGCCAGTGCTTTGCGCCATCTTTGAGTGTGAAGGGGAATGCCCTTAAGTAAATTGCATCTTGTGACGCACCATTGTATTGAAATATGTTCATAATCTCCTCGAAGTCCATCAGATGATTTTTTGGATCTTCGTTCATCTTTCCTCTGAAGACACAGCTATTTTGGAGGGTTTGGAGCAACCCTTCCTTCAGCTCAAAATTATTGGCTGCAACTGGAGGTGGTCTCACACTTGATAAGCCTTGCTTGTAGACGGGTCTAGCGTAATCACTAAGTGGTCTCCCAGCACCGGTTATGTTTCCGAACTGGTCTGGAACCAAAGGCTGATTCTGAGCAATTCTCCGAGCCCTCTCCTCTTCATAGGCAATTTGTGCATCTCGAAGAGCTGCTTCCTCAGCATCCTGATCAGTTCTTTTCTCTTAGTTGGGCTGCCTCTCTCGCAGCCAAATCTACATTATCATCATCTCCGATAAATTTTCTTTGGTTGAGGATTGCTCAACCTCCTTTATATTCTCGGGGAGGTTTCTTTCTTTCCTCAGCTGTCGTAGTTATTTTTTAATTTCTGGTCCCAGAAGATCAAGTCATGCACCAATCTAAACATGTAGCACGCGCACAGTCAAAGAACACCAAACGTAAAAAGAGAAAAATAAAATAAAAAGAAGAATTCCTGAATTAGCACTACTAACTATTTCAAACACTATTGATTGCCAATCCCCGACAATGATGCCAAACTTTAACGAGCGCAAAACACACTAAAATATGCCCGCTAGTCGATTATAGTAAAATATAATATCGTATCCACATGAGTTGGAGTTAAACAATATTATCGAAGTTTTTAGCTAGATTGCTATCGAAGATGATCAACAATTGAGATTTATGTGATTAAAACTAAATTTGAATAAGAGTCTATACTATTGACTAGTGACAAACAAAGCAAGTAATAAGCAAAGGAAGATATCAATGGGAGAAGATAGGGTTAATAGGATAGGCGCAAGATAAATGTTTGGGATCTAACTCTAGATAATTCACTTCTAATGTTCAATTGAGTCTCTCGAATTCACTTGGTTATTAGTTCAATTGTTTAGTAGAAACTCTTCTCTCGATTAACTCTCAACCTCACGAGATGAACAAATTTTAAGCACATGAAGATATGCAAGAATGCGTAGCGGATTAGTCCTTAGGAGAACCTCTCTCGATTATCCTCCTAACTAGGTTTAATCAATAATTCAACTAGCCTCTTCCGATTAAAGAAGAATTAATGACTTCAACCAACAAAATTAATGCAAAGATATCACAAGGTATGCCTCTCCCGATTACATGAACTAGTGAATATATTTGCAACGATTAAGATATCCAAAACGATTCAAAAAATAAAAACTAGAGTTGTAATCCACAAACAAGTATCAATACACCAAATCTATCAAACCATAAAGAGAACTACTCCATGGATACGGAGTAATTCATCATAAATATGTTTAAGTTAAAGGAAAGCATAAAACGATCCAAACTCTTCTCTTGAGTGAGGATTGAATGATGAAATCCTTGTGCTTTTGCTTCTCTACCTCTTCCTTAGCTTCCTTAGGTCTAAGATGTGTCAAAAAGTCCAAAAAATAATATTTTTACATGTATTTATACTAAGTAGGGTCGGGCCCAAACGAAATCACCTTCTCATAGCCGAAATAAGATTGTTACTTTGTAAAAAATGCACAGGCGCTTGCATGGGGCGATGCGCCATGCGGTGTGGTAGTGGAACTTATCAGAGAGTGTGCAATTTCAAGGCAACAGCAAAATGAACAGCCACAGCGCCCCACGCGCCGCGGCTGTGGTGATTTCTTAGTGTCCAGCTTTTTTCTTGATTTTTCATATCCAGACGTGGTTCTCGACCCCCGAACGCGATCCCGGCTTAATTCCATGGGCTTTTACTTAGACTTCAAAGCTCCAAATAGCTCAAATTCGTTGCATAACATTTACATCACTCGGAATCACTCCTACAAGGTATAAAACACACAATTAGTGCAAAACACTAGCGATTAAAGCTCAAAGTCAATTAAAGTGCAGTAAATTAGAGTGCAATAAGCGACTAAAACACAAGATTATAGCCTACCATCAACTAGTTATGAGGGTATTTTTGTAAACAAATAATTCTTTTAGAAATTGTGCAATGCTATAATAATCAAACCAAACAATGGATAAAATATATGTCAGCATAACTAATGCAAGCATAACTAATACCAGCATTACTAATACATCATTTCAGTATTATTCTTATGCACCTTACCAAACGACCCCTTAAAATTTTGGTCCATGCTACATGGCTCCATGTGTTTCAAATATCACAATTCCTTTCCGTTGTGTCTTTTCCTTCCTCTTCCTTTTGTTGTTTAAGTAATCAACAATTTCTCGCGGAAAATTTATCTTAGTTATGCATTGTGTACAGATTAACTTATCTTCCAATATATTAACTGATTATATAGAGGAAACAGTAATAAAGTTTAACTGATCAGAAGTTAAATTTCATAGTACATATGAGTATTAAGTATTTGATTTAAATATACTGAATGTATATATCTAAAACTTAGATTAATTTATCATTATGTATAATTCTCACTCCAATTCTTTCCCACCTTTTATTTTCTCTCTCTCTCTCTAGCCCGTGGGTCAATTTCGCAAAGCACTATTTACGAATAAAACTTATTTCCAACATTATGCTTTTTAACATTTGCGAATTAATTTATTTGCAAAATTCAATACCTAAAATAAAATTTAGATGTTAAAGTATTATGCTGGAGAGTTGAGAAGCTTCCATTTTAGCTCAGGAGAAAGGTTTCTTCCGGTCGAGAAACTGGAGTTGCTGGCTTGCAGCTAAAAAAAAAGAAGAGAAAAAGAGTATAAAAGAAGAAGTGTGTAAGCTCCAAGCACAGCAATGGATTGTGATTAATTCTTGCTCACATCATCAAAGAATGTGGCGGGATAAATGAAATTTCTTTAACCTTGATGAGAAGTTTTGAGGTTGAGCCACGAGGCGAAAATATCTTTGATAGAGAATGTTTTCCTTTTAAGGGACCATAAGCGACTTGGATCTGAATTAATCGGTTAGTCAGTCCCGAATACAATATGATCAAACCCAAAAAAAACTCCTGCCCACATGAAGTGGTTGTCCGTCCAGCTACTAAACTAACTACTACTAACGTGTATATCTGCTAACTCACTTAACAAGAACATGCTAATCTCCTACTTAACGTGATCATCAGAACTTTCGTGCATTGAATATCCTTTTAAACTCTTAAACATGAATTGATCTGTAGCTTGCACGTGAATTTAACATCTATAGACTATCAATTAATATGGGTGTCAAAATTGTAAGTATTTGTATTCGAAAATATATTCAAAAATAAAAATGCTATAAAAGTAGAAATGCAGAAGAATAGAACTATTCCGAGCCCAGTAAATTCACAGTGTTTCCTTAAGGAACTTAATCCCTCCTAGTACCCGAGGTTTAGGATTATTTCCTCACAGGATAGAAGGAATTACCCTCACTTGTGTAGCGGTACTTCAAACCCAGTGACAACGAACGCAAAGAACAGTAGTAAATCACACATACTGCTTTCTTTTCTATTAAAATAATGCAGAAAGAAGAAGGAGAAATTAGAATTTTCGTAAGAAAAATCTGAGGGAGAGTTCCTGTATTTATAGCCAAAAACGTTGGGTTATACTGAAGAGTTACATCTCTTCTGTAACAACCTGGCCGGTTGTTTTAAGAATTACGCCCCGATCCCCTATTAACTGCATTTCCCGTGTTTGTTTCTACTATTGTGAGTTGCCGGGAGGATTTAATTAGAGTTTCGGAGAGTTTTGGACACTTAGTCCCTAAATAAGAGTTTAAGTTTTAGAATTTGGACCGTAGTCGGAACAGTGTGAAGACGGCCTCGGAATGGAATTCCGTTGGTTCCGTTAGCTCCGTTGGGTGATTTCGGGTTTAGGAGCGTGTTCGGATTGCATTTTGGAGGTCCGTAGCTTATTTAGGTTTGAAATGCCGAAAGTTAAATTTTTGAAGTTTCCGGTTTGATAGTGAGATTTTGATATCGGGGTCGAAATGGAATTCCGGAAGTTGGAGTAGCTCTGTAGTGTTGAATGTGACGTGTGTGCAAAATTTCAGGTCATTTGGATGAGGTTTGATAGACTTTTTGATCGAAAGTGTAATTCGAGAGTTTTTTGAAGTTCTTAGGCTTGAATCCGATGTTAGTTCGATGTTTCGATGTTGTTTTAGGTGTTTTAAGGATTGTTATAAGTTTAGATAGTGGTATATGACTTGTTCGTGCTTTTGGTTGAGGTCCCGGGGGCCTCGGGATGATTTCGGATGGTTAACGGAAAGTTAGGAATTTGGAGTTGCAGCTGAAGTTTATGGCTGCTGTCATAACCGCATCTACGGTTGAGAGGCCGCAGGTGCGACTCCCGCAGATGCGGAATCAAGCCGCAGAAGCGGCCAGATGAGGAAAGGCTAGGATTCGCAGGTGCGGAAGTGTCCACGCACCTGCGTGACCGCATATGCGGTAAATAGGTCGCAGGTGCAGATTTGGGGAATTTAATGAATTTTCGCAGGTGCGGTTGTTTTTCCGTAGAAGCGGGACCGCAAAAGCAGATTTGCTGGGCAAAAAATAAGAATTTTGAGGGTTTGAAATCAAAAGTTAGAAAACTGATTTGGAGCTCGGGAGAGGGCGATTTTGGGAGGATTTTGAAGAGGAAATCAGTGGGTAACGATTCCTAATCCCTTTCTAGTTATATTCCTATAATCTTATCTTAGTTTTGTCATTTAATTTTGGATTTGGGATGAAAAGTGGAGGAAAATTTGGAGAAAGTTCTTCGATCTAAACTTTGAGTTTTGATTGGGAATTTGACATCGGATTTGGATATTTTTGGTATGGTTAGACTCGTGAGAGTATGAGGATTCTGAAAATGTAAATTTTACCCGATTCCGATAAGTGGGCCCGAGGGGCGTTTTGGTCATTTTACCTAATTTCGCGTATTAGCTTAGAATTTATTTGTAGAATCAGTTACTTGAAGTGTTATTTACATTATGCAATTGAATTGAATAGATTTGGGCCATTTGGAGTCGAGTACTCGTGGCAAGAGCATGGTTTCAGGTTGATTTTGAGCTGGTTCGAGGTAAGTGGCTTGCCTAACCTTGTGTGGGGGAACTCCCCTTAGGATTTGGTTTTGTTGATAATTGAAATGCCTTGTACGTGAGGTGACAAGTGCGTACTCGTGCTAATTGTTGAAAATCCATTTTCCTTAAGTAACTATAAATGTGATTTCCTTTTTCCTTGTTCATACTGCGTGTAATTTAAGCCTGCTATTAGCCTAGGGAAGCATGTTTAATTGACTTAATTGCTTTACTTGCTCAAATTTCCTTATGTGGATTATGTGCAACATGCTAGGTAGAAATACCTATTTTACTTTGGTATAGGAATTTGAATTGAATTGAGTATTCTTGTGTTGCTGCTGTGTGTTTACTTTAGGTCTATGGGACGGTATCCCGGGAGATCCCCCTGTATGTTTACTTTGGGACACGGAATTGTATTCCGGGAGATCCCCCTGCACTTTTTATATTGGAACTACGGGGCTGCACCCGGTAGATTCCCCCAGTACTGGATATTTACATTTGGGACTACGGATCGGGATTCCGGTAGATCCCCGCGCATTATGAGTTGGACTACGGGACTGCACCCGGGAGATCCACAGGATATTTATATTTCGGGGCTACAGGACAGTATCCTGGGAGATCCCCGGTTGTTATCTCTGTGTGAGTTGTATTCCTTTTCGTGATCATTTTATCTCTGTTATAGCTGCTGTTGTTTCTTTCTATCCTGTGTTACTGCTTACTGTTGCACTTAACTATACTGTTTTATTCTATACCGTTATACCTTGTATTTCATTTAACCTCAGTAGGGCCCTGAGTTTCCTCGTCACTACCCGACCGAGGTTAGGCTTGGCACTTACTGAGTACCGCTGTGGTGTACTCATGCCTTTTCTGCGCATGTTTTTCATGTGCAGATCCAGGTACTCTCACTCAGTCTTATCACCCTTGAGGCGAGGCGCTTTTGTAGAGATTTCGAGGTATATCTGCCGCGTCTACAGACCGAGGAGTCCTTTTCTATTCTCTGTACTAGTTTAGCCCTTCTGTATTTCCCTTGTTGGTAGACATTTCTGGAGTTAGAGCTTTTTATGTATCTCTTAGCTTGTGATTCATGGGTTTCCGGGTTTTGGGAATTGTTCAGTTTTTGAGATCTTGTATTGGTATATGCCGTGCGGCATCTTAAACAATTCTATATTTGTTTATCTTCGATTTTTATTAGTTTTCCGCATTTTGTTCCCTTTTCCGCAATTGTTAGGCTTACCTAGTCGTAGAGACTAGGTGCCGTCAAGACAGTTCACGGAGGGCGAACTTGGGTCGTGACAAGTTGGTATCAGAGCTCTAGTTTCATAGGAGTCATGAATCACAAGCCGGTTTATAAGAGTCTCGCGGATCGGTACGGAGACGTCTGTATTTATTTACGAGAGGCTATGTAACTGTTAGGAAATTTTTCACTTCATTTGATTTCCTTGTCGTGCGAGATTTGATATCACAATTCTAAATATCTGTCTTCTATTCTCTCACAGATAGTGAGGACACGTGCTACCCGAGATGATCAGGCACCCGCGCCCCCTACTGGAGCCGTCAGAGGCCGGGGCCGGGGTAGAGGCCGTAGTACCCGCGCGAGCTACCACCGAGGTGCCACCAGCAGTTCCAGCCGGAGTCCAGACACCTGATACGTTAGCTACTACTACTCCAGCACTCCAGGAGACCCTGACGTAGATTATGACTATGTACACCACTCTAGCTCAGGCAGGGTTGCTTTCCCTAGCTGCAGCTACATCCCAGGCCGGGGGAGGAGCACAGACTCCCGCCATCCGCACTCCTGAGCAGCGAGTGCATGTTGATCAGGTCCCAGAGATTATTCTTGTACGGCCGGTATCCCCAGCTCAGCCCGAGGAGAGAGCAGTAGCTTCAGAGGAGGAGTAGAAGAGGCTTGAGAGGTTCAAGAAGTATCAGCCTCCTACATTCAGCGGACTAGCCTCAGATGATGCTCTTGGATTTCTAGAGGAGTGCTACCGTATGCTCCGTACCATGGGTATATCAAGATCGAGCGGGGTTTCCTTCACTACCTTCCAGCTTCGAGGTGCCGCCTATTAGTGGTGGCGTGCTTATGAGTTAGACAGTCCGGATGAGGTTGCTTCCCTGACTTGGGCTCAGTTTTCAAATATGTTCATGAGAGAGTACGTTCCCCAGAGTCTCAGGGATGCTTGGCGCGCAGAGTTTGAGCATTTGCGCCAGGGTACTATGACTGTCTCGGAGTATGCTGTCCGTTTCACCGACTTGGCTAGACATGCACCAGCTTTGGTTTCTACTGTTCGCGAGAAGGTCGCCGGTTTGTTGAGGGGCTTATTCCCAGCATTAGGTCTAGCATGGCTCGTGAGTTGGAGATGGATATTTCTTATCAGCAGGTGGTGAGCATTGCTAGGAGGATTGAGGGTATGCATGCTAGGGATAGAGAGGAGAGGGAGGCCAAGAGGTCTCGAGAGTCGGGCCATTATTCTGGTGCCCGTGCCCCAGCTTCAGCTCGTCATGGTAGGGGTTATATGAGTCGCCCCGTTATAACGTCTTCCTTTAGCACCATATTTTACTTTGCTTTAGCTTGTCTGTTTTTCTACTTTTTCCTCTGTAATCTTCTCGTTCCCGAACCAATCCTTCTTTAACTTTCCTGCATAATTTAGACAAAAGTATGGAAGAAATATGATAGTTTTTGTGTTTTTACAAAGAAATTATATGTTTAAAAATCAAGTAAAATGCACTTATCAAATTCTCCCACACTTGAACTTTGACTCGTCCTCGAGGAAATATATATATATATATATATATATATATACACATTCACAACTTTGCAACAGTTAATGATTCCACCTGAAATTTCAAATATTTTTGAACTTTGTGGAACTTGCTTCGTTTACATCTTCACTTTTACTCTGCAAGTATCACTGTTAGACATCTTTGAGTTTCAGAAAAAACAAGAACAGTAAATCAGTTATTTACAATAAACCATAGGCTTGCCTTTCTTGTCAGTCGCCACTAATGTAGATCAATGTTGGCTTTAGAATCTTTTAGGACTTTTATTAGCTTATAATGTTAGGCTTTGAGCTGGTAGGATACAAGAAAAATATATAAAGTGACTTCTTCTTCTTCTTTTTTTTTTTTTTTTCTTCTTCTTTTTGGTGGCTTGATTTTCAAACATAGATGACTTTGTTCGAGAATTGGTGTTGATGTGAGGATTTTAAATTTATATAACCCTCTAACCCCTTTTTTTTCTTTCTTTTTTTATACATAAACACTCATATGCACGTGCTATACGTGTTCTTACATATGTGTGCCTATATATATATATATATATATTCTCTTTTTTTTTTCTTCTTTTTTTTTGTTGTTGTTTTTTTTTTAAATATTTCTCTAGAGACTTCACATACACCAATTCACAAATCGTCATCCATTAAACATGAGGCCAGACAATTGAAGAAATGGATATTTTTTTTTATGTGATAATAAAATTTGTATACATATGTATACAAGTAGGCTTGATGTTATAAGGTATAGATGGAAAAAAAAGGATATTTAGGCTCAAAATGGGATACTAAGGATAAATTTCATTTGGTAGTTATAAAGAAAGGCTCAATCGATCCAAAGATAGCCTAATTCATTTTCCAAAATCAGCATTTTTCTAGGATTTCGCTTTGACTAACAATAGAAGCAAGTTCTAGTTATTGAATATATTGATTTGAGCATACCTTGGTTTTTTTAAAACAGTCAAAGTTGTATCACAGTAGAAAACTAACATTAGCGAAAGTGGAGGCATAAAAATAGAAGTCTTCAATGTTACCTGAAATATTCAGATATGTTACCAAGAAATGAGCAAAGCTTATTCATGTGCAAATTATTCTGAAAGTTCTTTTCTTTTCCCTTTTTAATTTAAACGAAAGTGTACAAAAGCTTTTTTTTTTTTTTTTTT